ATATATATGCATGTATGTATGTATGTATGTATGTATATATGTGTGGGTGGGTGGGTGGGTGTGTGTGTGTGTGTGTTGATATTGTATTTATGTTTGTATGCATGTATGTAATGCATGTATGTATGTATGTCTGTCTGTATGCATGTAGGTATGTATGTACGTAAGCATGTATATGTATGAATGCATGTATGTATGTATGCATGTTTTTATGTATATATGATGTTATGTATGTATGTATGCATGTATGTATCTATCTATCTATCTATATATATATATATATATGTATTTATATATATTTATAGAACTAGGCATGCTGTTCACCACTGGATTAGAGCGAATTCCATGATGGAATTTACAGCCAAGAACAGACCAGCAGCCCCGAAGTAACATGACTGTTTTGCCCTTTTCAGGTTAACATACGCAGTATACCATACCGCCCATCTTCTGCATCGTTCTTTTACTTCCATACTTCACCTATGCGCAATGTCTACATCAGGACCAGAGGCTTTGCTATGCTTATACATACAATCGTGCTGTGTCTCTGTCTCTGTCTGTGCTCAGGTGTCCTATTCATCCCCACCCGCTACTATACTTCTAACGGCGTATCTATTGTAGTTGGTATGACTTCGAGTCCGGCGAAGTACGCCACCCGCGCTAGTTCGCTACCACACATCTCGTGAAGCATGCAGCTGACTTTGTATAGGATTAAGGGTGGCTGACCTGGCATAGATCTCACATACACCTGCTTCTCCATGTGGCAATTGCGTAGGGGACGACGAGATGAACGGGTACAGTACCCAGCCCACATTGCGACCGTACACAACCATTGGGGTTGTAGGTAAGGGATACTAATTCACCTACTGCCGATTTATTGGCTATCGTGTTTACAAAGTGTTTGTATAGACAACATACAATGGTTTTCCAGCTGTTAGCCGGCGACTTTTGTGTATCCCTAGGTAAATTTGGTAACAATTATAGGTCTCGTTGTAGTCTATATATGTATTGATATATATATATATATATATATATATATATGTATGTATATATATACATATATATATATGTGTATGTGTGTGTGTATGTATATATGT